TCTCTGCTCCTATGATGCTGCTTGGCCTGCTGTGTTCATCCAGCCCTGCACCTTGTTGTCTCGGATTCTCCAGCATCTGCAGTTCCTACTATCTCTACTACCAACTGAACTGATATGGTTTATTCAGGGGACCCTCTATTTCAATACGTGATTTGGGTTTTGACACCTTAGTGTCCTGATTCAAGCAGATCTACAGCAGGCTTGTGATTTTTCTCACAATGTCATTTGGCCACCCAGAGGTAACGCTGCTGGCGTTTCCAGCAGGGCCAGCAAAGAGGTGCGACTAAAGCAGACAGAATCTAAGTAAAACTCCCACAAAAGGTAACTGGTCAGACCTGCCTCCCATGGGACACCTGTCCACAAGAGTCAGTTATTCCGCACAAGATCTGTGGATACACACACCAAGGCCCCTCTGATTATCAATACTTTCCAGAGTCCTACCATTTCATAGCAGGATCCCTTGTCTTGTTGGCCCATGCAAAGTGCATTACCGCACATTTGAATTCTGGTGGCCACTAGTCTGCGTACCCAAGCAGTTTTTTGCTATCCTCCTGCAGCTCAGAGCTATCCCCCTCACTATTTACCACCATATTATTTTCATGCAATCTGCAAACTTCTCAATACTCCCTACATTCAAGTCCAAAACATTACATACAACACAAACACAAAGGCCCCAGAACAGAGCCCTACAGAACCCCACTAGAAACCAACTTCTAGTCACAGAAACCTCTCTCTACCATCACCCTCTGATTCTGGCCTCTCAACCAATTTTGGATCCAACTTGCCACTTTGCCTTGGATCCCAAGGTTTCCTACTTTCTCAACCAGTCTGCCCTTCAGAAAGGGCCCCGACCCGAAACATGAGCTTTCCTGTTCCTCTGATGCTGCCTGGCCTGCGGTGTTCCTCCAACTCCACACTTTGTTATCACCTTTCAGTCAAGTCTCAGACATACCTATGATATCATACTTCTATGTCTCTGTGCCCTCAGTTCATGTATCTTATTCCACAGGCTCCTTGCACTAAAATATATTCAATTATGCTTTGCATAACACTTTTTAAAGAAGTACAGCTTATGTTTCTTGGCTTCCACACTCATTTATTGAAGCTTAACTTGTAATTCCATCTCCGTTTGTATGCCCCTAAAATCTTCATGTACCTCAATCAGATCACCCCTCAGTTTTCTCTGTTCTAAAGAAAGCAACCTCAGCCTGTCTGGTCTCTCTTCGTAGCTGAATTGCTCCAGCCTTGTATGTCATGAAAAGGGTATTGATTAATAAAATGGGAAGTTTGGAACAACACGACATAACAATGCACAGTGAATTCAAGGATTGTTTTCCATCGAACAGCATACTTCAGACAAAAGAAATTTGACGAGTTGAAGGATCAAGTAGTTTTGTTTCCCCTAAACCAGTAGCAAAAGGTAAGACCACACGGAAACATGATTAAGTGTTTGCCACCTTCCAGCAAAACACCAGAAATCATTCACAGATAGTGAAATAATGAAAGAAGCAATGAACATGGCTGCTGATTCTTTATTCAAAGACATTAAGAACAAAGAAGAAGTAATGTTGCCAACCCAGAGCATGTTACTTGACACTTCCACAGTAACAAGACTGGAGATGTCTTTCAGCAACTACAGCAGAATATGAAGGACCGTGTATGCTTCTCACTAGTTTGATGAATCCATCCACATGACCAACAGCCTAGCTAAACCAGTTTCATCACAACTGATGGTACACCAGTCATGCTTGGTGCAAATGCAGGCTTGGTTACATTTTGCAGAAATATTCTGAATTCTTCTCTTTTGTCAATTCGTACTGCATAATCCATCAGCAAGCATTTCCAGTTTATAGCCTCTCTTACATAAAGGAAGTTGTTAAGATATAACTCCAATTTGAACAAGAACCCTACAGCACTACACATTTAAATCCTTACTCAGTGAATCTGATGCTGCCAATGGTGAACTAGGCGAGAAGTCAGACGATACCAGGTTATAATCCAACAGGTTTATTTGAAATCACATGCTTTCGGAGTGTTGTCCCTTCATCAGGTGAAGGGGCAAAGCTCCGAAAGCTTGCAATTTCAAATAAACCTGTTGGACTATAATCTGGTGTCTTCCGACTTCTAACCTTGTCCACCCCAGTCCAACAATGGCATCTTCAGATTATGGTGAACTAAACCACTTCACATCAGTTTGGAGGACAAGTTGAGGGAAGGTCCCGCAAAGATTCTGAGGCCTGATGTCTCATATTGTCACCTTTCTTAAAATAAGAAATGAAGTATGCAGTGATCTGTCAGTAAATGCGTGGTTGCTTTACTTTGGATTCCTTAGAGATATGATGTTAAAACAGAATGAGCTGATCTTGTTTGTAGTGAATGCAAAAATTTGAAACTGAGTCTGTCGTCTCCCAAACTAAAAAAATCACTGCAATATTTCCCAAGAAAATGCTAGAGAAAAACCAAAGACAACGAAAAATCAATCATTCCTCCCGAAAAATTTCTTTGCACATTTGAAGCGGTCAGCTGAGGAATTAAACAAGTTATTTCTGTAATTAAATATGATGGAACAACTCATCATGTTATGTCAGAGTCACAGACCTATAGCACAGAAAAAAACCCTTCAGCCCATCGAGTCTGTGCCAGTCAAAAACATCCATCTAACTATTCTAATTCCATCATCCAGCACTTGGCCCAAAGCTTTGTGTGCCTTGGCATCGCAATTATACATATAAATACTTAAATGTTATGAAGGTTTTTGCCTCTACCACACTTACGGGCAGTGAGTTCCAGGCTCCCACCACCCTCTGTGAAAAACGTTTTTGCTCACATCCCCTCTAAACTTCGTACCCCTTGACTTAAATCTATGTCCCTTGGTCACTGTTCCCACCACAAAGAGAAACAATTTCCTACCCCGTCCCCCCACTTCATGCCAGTGCTTCAAGCAGACATGAGTGGGTTGGCCACCAAATTCTATCAGGCATTTATTTACAAAGCAGTGGTGTTGATGTGGAGATAATAACCATATAAGATGATTTGGAGTTGAAAGATAAAGGGACAGTGATTTTTGGGGATTTATAAATAGAAGAAATAGCCACTCTTATCACCTGTGCTTTTTAAAGCAAAAGCTTACTTTTGACAGCACATATCTCTGTGAAACAACCTTCCCCCAGATGATGACAAACAAATCCAAGGTACCCAACTCAGGGTGCAATGAGTGGACTTGGCATGACTAGCAATCTCAAACTACTAACCAGACTTCATGGAATTGGCAGATAATGTACAGTCTCAGGTGTCACACTGAAACTTGTCGAGCACAGGACAAATCAATAATTACATAATAATTACGTAATTATTTATAATTACATTTATATAACACTAGGAATAAACTGTTTATTCTATTACTTTTTCAGAGTAGATCCCAAGTTGACTTAAATTCAAAAAGTGATCTTGAGCTGAAGATCACTGGTCTCAAAAAGGTTAAGATCATAAAAGGTTGAGACCTGTGTATAACATATACTGATAGAGGAGTTTAATGTAAAATTTAGTAAGTGCTTTACCTGGCATAGAATCTCTTGAAATAGACTGTTGCGGTTGCAATAACTTGTTGCCTCAATTTGAGGTGTTCGCCAAGAGCTTGAATCACTATTGGTGAAACAAGAAGAAATGTTTACTTTATTTGCTCACCATTTAGCGATGTACAGAAATGGATTACATTGCAAAAGGATACAATCCTGGACCTTAGCCTGGCTCTTGATACTAATTTGTCCCAGTAGTCAAAAGATGTAAAACAATTTTTTTTGAAGGCATAATGCCTTTATTGGTCAGGGCATTAAGTATAGGTATTGGGAGGTTATGTTACGGCTGTACAGGATATTGGTTAGGCCACTTTTGGAATACCGCCTGTAAATCTGGTCTCCTCGCTATAGGAAGAATGTTGTGAAATGTGAAATGGATCAGAATATATTTACAAAGATGTTGCCAGGGCTTGAGCGTTCGAGCTACAGGGAGAAGCTGAATAAAAGGGGGAGAAAAAAAGGCTTAATATGTGAAAAAAACTTTTCAGTTCTGTTTTTATACATGTACATTAAAAAGGGCTTTGTTACGTATCTATCAAAATTATTAAAAGTCAACATCTCAATAGCATTGTGGAACTTGGAACTGTAATATAATTTGAACCAATACTGCCTCAGAAAGAAAAAAATAACTTAGAATCATACGATACTGCAACACAAAGGAGGTAATTCAGCCCTCGGATGGAATAAAGAATTTTTTGAAAGGAATGTCTACTTAGGTCTATTCTTTTGACTTTTCCCCCACAGTCATTCTTTTTCCCTTTTCAAAACAAAATTATAGAACTGTACATTGTGGAACTTGTCATTTTGAATCAGAGATTTAGAAGGAATAGTGGGAATAGAATCCATTTCTTGTGAACGCTGAAGAACACAGTTGTTCCCTCGTGCACTCTTCCCAGCCTGTGTCTCCTTACTTCCTCTGGAATTTCATTCCACATGTCAGAAGTGTATGTGGGTGCAGTTATAACACTTAAAAGACATTTGGATAAGTACATGGACAAGAAAGGATATGGGCTAAGCTCAGGCAGGTGGGACTAGTTTAGTTTGGGATTATGGTCGGCATGGACTGGTTGGACTAAAGGGTCTGTTTCCATGCTGTATGACTCTATAAACTGGGACTATTTTCCCTGGAGCAATGAAGGCTGAGGGGTGAACTTAGAGGTTTATAAAATCATAAATCATAACACTAATAACATGCCAGTAATTGACAAAGAGACGAAGGTAGGTGAGGACTTGGAAGCCATCATTATTATAGAAGAGGTGGAGTTGGGCAAGCTTATGGAGCTAAGGATTGATAAGTCTCCTGGCCCTGATGGAATGCATTCCAGGGTACTAAAAGAGATGGCGGGAGAAATAGCAGGTGCACTGGCGGTAATTTTCCAAAATTCGCTGGACTCTGGGGCAGTCCCAGCAGATTGGAAAACTGCAAATGTGACGCCACTGTTTAAAAAGGGAAGTAGAAAAAAGATGGGGAATTATAGACCGGTTAGCTTAACCTCTGTAGTGGGGAAGATGCTTGAGTCTTTTATCAAGGAAGAAATAGCAAGGCATCTTGATAGAAATTGTCCCGTTGGGCAGACGCAGCATGGGTTCATGAAGGGCAGGTCATGCCTGACAAATCTTTTGGAATTCTATGAAGACATTACGAGCAAGGTGGACAATGGGGACCCAGCGGATGTGGTGTACCTACATTTCCAAAAGGCCTTCGACAAGGTGCCGCAGAAGAGGCTACTGCATAAGGATGCATGGCGTTAAGGGTAAAGTATTAGCATGGATAGAGGATTGGTTGACTAACAGGAAGCAAAGAGTGGGGATAAATGAGTGCTATTCTAGCTGGCAGTCAGTGACTAGTGGTGTGCCTCAGGGATCGGTGTTGGGACCGCAATTATTTACAATTTATATAGATGATTTGGAGTTGGGGATCACGTGTAGGGTGTCAAAGTTTGCAGATGACACTAAGATGAGTGGCAGAGCAAAGTGTGCAGAGGACTGTGAAACTTTGCAGAGGAACATAGATACATTGAGTGGGTGGGCAAAGGTCTGGCAGATGGAATACAATGTAAATAAACGTGAAGTCAAACATTTTGGTAGGAGTAATAGAAGGATTATTACTTGAATGGTAAAAAAATGCAGCATGCTGCTATACAGAGGGACCCTGGGTGTCCTTGTGCATGAATCACAGAAGGTAGGTCTGCAGGTACAGCAAGTAATTAGGAAGGCAAATGGAATTTTGTCCTTCATTGCTAAAGGCATTGAGATGAAAAGCAGAGAGGTTATGTTGCACTGTACAAGGTGCTGGCGAGGCCACACCTGGAGTACTGTGCGCAGTTTTGGTCTCCTTACTTGAGAAAGGATGTACTGGCACTGGAGGGGGTATAAAGGAGGTTCACTAGGTTGATTCGGAGTTGAGGGGGTTGGCTTATGAGGAGAGACTGAGTAGATTGGGATTATATTAATTGGAATTCAGAAGATTGAGGGGGGATCTTATAGAAACATATAAAATTATGAAGGGAATAGATAAGATAGAAGTAGAGAGGATGTTTCTACTGGCAGGTGAAGCTAGGACAAGAGGGCATAGCCTCAAGATTAGAGGGAGCAGATTTAGGACTGAATTGAGAAGGAACTTCTTCACCCAGAGGGTTGTTAATCTATGGAATTCCTTGCCCAGTGAAGTAGTTGACACTACTTCAGTAAACGTTTTTAAAGATAAAGGTAGATTTTTTTTGAACAAAAAGGGAATTAAGGGATACGGTGAGAATGCGGGTAAGTGGATCTGAGTCCACGAAAGGATCAGCCATGATGTTATTGAATGGCGGAGCAGGCTCGAAGGGCCAGACGACCTATTCTTGCTCCTAGTTCTTATGTTCTTATTAGGGGCATGGAGGGTGAATAGGCAAGGTCTTTTCCCTGGGATGGGGGAGTCCAAAACTAAAGGGCATAGCTTTAAGGTGACAGAGGAAAGATTTAAAAGGGACCTTAGGGGCAATTTTTTTTACGTAGAGGGTGATGCTTGTATGGAACAAGATGCCAGAGGAAGTCGTGGAGGCTGGTATAATTCCAACACTTAAAATGCATCTGGGCGGGTATATAAACAGGAAGGGTTTAGAGAGATATGGGCCAAATGCTGGCAAATGGGACTAGATTTATACAGTCTATATGGTTGACATAGAGGAGTTGGACTGAAGGGTCTGTTTCTGACTCTATAATTGCATTTTCTTTTCCGCATTTTCTGTTTTATTGCAGATTTCCAACATCTGCAGTGTCTAGTTTTTGCAGTACTGTAGTACTCTCCTGTTGCTCACATCTACAATTTCCTAGATTTAACACTGTATTTTAATAGCACCCTATTTACCCCCTTCATCATTGTTAAAACATATAGTGTAACAATATATTGTTAATAAAGAGATGTGCTTTAATGTTTTCTCCATGCATATGGAAATAATGGTGAGAATATAGTGGCAATAATTTAGGGATTTGTAACTTGCCAAATTCAGACATGACAATTATTAACAACAGGTGAAGCTAGAAAAATGCATTCCTAAAGTCAAACAATTATGGTGGAAAAAATGGATTATACTAGCTTTTCTCACATAAACTCCTCATTTAACAATAACGGACATAGACTGATGAACAGGATTACCATTTGCAAAAAATATTTGTAGTTTCCAATATTCTTCTTCTGTGAGGAATTTCAAGTCTTTCTGTCGCTCCTTCATTACATCTTGCTTATCAAGGATCCACTGTAAACTGAGTCAGAACAAGCAGACATTTGGTGCAGTATTGAAAATGGCGTTAGATGCCAGTGTGTTACATAGTAGGCAAATCACATGTTTCAATATATTACAAATTAATTTTAAGGGGTTCAGATTTGTGATCACCTAAAACCCCAAGACAGTTTACAGATTTATACTGAATAACATGTACAGACATTTTAACTATATATTAAGATGGAGAATATTTTTCTCCTATTTTTCCAATACTTTTGAGAAAGTAATAAATGTAACTGATGAGCAGTCACTCATCAGCTGAAGCAGTAATCATGCTTTATCTCACTGCGTTAAGAGAAAGAACATACTCTGGATACAACAAATTGCTCTTTTCTTTCATCATTATGTAAAAATACCATTCAATTATCTGTCAACAAAAATCATATCCTGTATCCTGGAGTTAATACTGACCAGAAACTGAACAAGACTGGCCATGTACTATGGTTACAAGAACAGAACAGGTCAGAGGCTGGGAATTCCGAGACCGGGAACTCATCTTCTCACTACCCAAATCATATTCATCTGCAAGGCACAAGCCAGGGGTATGATGGAATACTGTTGACTTGCCCAAATGAGTTTAGTCCCAACAACATTAAATAACCTCAACACCATCTAAAACAACGCAGCCCACGAGGTTGCTACCTTGTCCACCACCTTAACTTTCACTCCCTTCACCACTAAACACAAAATGGCAGCCACGTGTGTTATCTTATAAAATAAAGCAATTCACCAAATATCCCTTGACGGCACTTTCCACACCTACTACCAAGAAGAACAAGGGCAGCAAATGCAAGGGAAAACCAAACTCCTGGAAATACCACAGCAAACTACACACCATCCTGACTTAGAAATATTTCATATTCCTTCACTGTCACTGGATCAAAAACCTGGCAGTCCCTTACTAACAGCACTACGGGTATACCGACATCACATTGGCCCGAAACGTTGACTTTCCTGCTCCGCTGATGCTGTCTGACCTGCTGTGTTTATCCAGCTTCACAGCTAAAGATGGAACAGGCAGAAACTGGATAAGTGATCATCAGACAGAGAAGAGGAAGGCAGTTAGTTCTGGAGTCCTCCGGGAACCGTCTCCCTCTCTATCAGAGATATACTGTTTTTAAAAACTATTGGGGGAGATTATTTCTCAGGGTTAGGAGAAAAGCCAGATCCATGACACATCCATTTACAAAGATGTTGCTGGGATTGGAGGGTTGAACTACAGGGAGAGGCCGAATAGGCTGGGGCTTACTTTCCTAGAGCATCGGAGGCTAAGGGGTGACCTTATAGAGATTTATAAAATCATGAGGGGTATGGATAGGGTGAATAGCCAAGGTCTTTTTTCCAGGATAGGGGAATCCAAAACTAGAGGGCATAGATTTAAGGTGAGAGGGGAAAGATTTAAAAGGGACCTAATGGGCAACCTTTTCACACAGAGGGTGGTGTATGAATGGAATGAGATGCCAGAGGAAGTGGTAGAGGTGGGTACAGTTACAACATTTAAAAGACATTTGGATGGGTACGTGAATAAGAAGGGTTCAAAGGAATATGGGCCAAATGCTGGCAAATGGAACTAGATTAATTTAGGATATCTGATCGGCATGGACGAGTTGGACCAAAGGGTCCGTTTCCAAGCTGTACAGCTCTAAAACTCTATTACCTGCAGCATTTCAAGGACACAGCTTACTACCATCTTCTCATGAGGAGCTCATGAATAAATTTTTTAAAAAAGACCGGTTAATAAATGCCAACCTTGCCAGCGGCACCTACATCCCAGAAAATAACTATTTAAAGATCAGCTTTTCACAGCTTGTTTTCTTTTATAAAGGCCTCTTCAACAAACTAACTGATTTCAACCAACCAATGGCGTGAAACTTGCTCACCAAATTCTAAGGCTAAAATTCAAGCCTATTCCTGCATCTGCAGAATCAGAATTCTGACAGACAGAATACATCTGCATTTGGAGAGCCACGATCAGTCAGGGATTGCTGGAGACTAATATCTGTATTCCAAAGTGTGTGGATGTGTTTTTTTACAGGCAGCACTACATAAATAGAGATTACCTGTTCTCATAATGAAACGTTTAAATGGTAATATTATGAAGACTCGAGGATTTCAAGTGATGGGCTGTGAAAATTTTGTTCGGCAGCTCGTTGGATTTTAGACTTGTCCTTGGGAAGAAAAGCTGTTGACACACTATTTTGTAAACAAATTGTCCTTGTTGTTTGTGTGGATGGCTACCTCGTGTTTTGCCACGGCAAAAGGCTTTCACATTGAAACAATGAAACAATGAAACAGTAGAAATACACAAACACAGCTCGACTGACGAGTTATGCAGTTCGCACAAAATGCATCTCACCTCTTGAAAACATTCATTCATACAATGAACCACCTCTAAACGTAAACAAATACTTAAACAGTTTCCGTGGCCACGAAATCGCGAAGACAATAACATGTTAAAAGTCAAAAAACACAAAAGAAATACATAAAACCTCATCATATCATTGAGAGAAATTACAGCATTAAGTCGTTATAGACTTTCACTGTAGAATTCCCACCTAGCCCTACGGTCCCATTATATCAGTTGGTTATGGTAATATTTCACTTACATTTACGCTAGATTTTCTGAAGAAGATGTTTATAAATACAGCAATTATATGTTGGCTTTGTTATCCCTAGACAAAAAAAAAGCCAGCACCCCCACTCCGACACAGACACATGAAGAATTTAATGATCTCCTTGCTATGAATTCTTTCATCGCCTCCCCCCCGCCCAAAAAAAAAGTTGGTTTTCATAGATAGTAGGAACTGCAGATGCTGGAAAATCTGAGATAACAAGGTGTAGAGCTGGATGAACACAGCAGGCCAAGCAGCATCAGAGGAGCAGCAAGGCTGAGAGACTGGGACAAGAAGAACAGGCCGGAATGTAATGCAGCAGCTTCACCGAAATAAATTACAGAAATAATGCAGAGCAGAAAGACCCGCGCGTCTGAAATAAGAGGCTTTGGGAATAATTCTCTAGAATCAGCTTCTACATTTTCTGTTGGTGTTTAGGCCTCAGCCTAAGATCAAACACTCACTAGTGCGAGCTCTGCCAGAAATTCCCCGCCATCTCCTCTCAACCAAAACCCCGGCCGCGCCTCACGGGGCTTCGCTAATCTTTCTTTCGTTCTCCTCCTCCTTCTTCTTCTTCTTCTTCTTCCAATTTTTTTCACTCACCAAGTGTATGTAAAATGTACATCCTAAATTTTCATTTAGGCCTTTTGGACCTTATGTAACACCTAAATCGTTCCGTCAAGGAATCCGAGGTAACGCTGAAGGTTCCCTAATAAAAGTCTTCCGGGCGAGTCAGAGCAGCTGCAGATGAGTCCAAAAACTCTACTCACTGTCAGCTCCTCAACACTCGAGAAAACGGCTTTATTATATGATTAAACACAGAAGACTTCATTTTATTTTAAAAAGACTCTAGAATACTAAATGGTTTGGTAAGAAGAATTGGAACTTTTATGATTTTTAAAATAAACTCATAAACGTACATGTCTGTACTGGTGGTGAGAGATAGTAAGAATTGAAGAAGGTCTAGACCCGAAACGTCAGCTTTCCTGCTCCTCTGATGCTGCTTGGCCCGCTGTGTTCATCCAGCTGTATACCTTGTTATGTCTGTACTGTGTTTCCTCTTGAATTTTCCAATTTGTTTTCAAAATAGTTAAAAGAATCAGAGAGACTCCGACCCCTACTACAACATGAAGGTATACATCTCAGGTGGTATGCAATCCTTTTGAAGCACAGGTGGAAATTATTCCTGCCTCTCACTAGTCTCTGTAGACACAATTATACTTGGAACTCCCTTCAGATGGTAGAGTGATCTTAACATTTTAAATGTTCATGCTACATTGTCATAACTCACTGGGGTAGTGTGCTTGAAATCAGGTCCTGATATTCCCAGAATCATCACAAAGTTAAAGTCTTTATTTAAAATATGCAAAATTCTCTAATTTACCTGTCTTTTAGATCCAGGTTGACAGAAAGCATGGACCAGGTTAAACACTTAACAAGAATCATTATTTATTCCAGATAAAATAGATTGTAGTGACAGGTAAACAATTATGAATTTGCCAACAAATAACTCTACTATTATAAAACTATCCCTACACAAATGTAAAACAGATGCAAAGAAACCATGGGTGTTAATGGCAGGGGGAAAGACTGGGAAAGCAATTTAATGCTCCCCATCCACTGGGTTTGATGAGTTTTTTTTGGCTCTCCCATTAGTAGTCAGGACATGGGCAGAAAATAAATCAGGAGATAGAAAAGGCATGTAGAAAGGCAGTATTAGAATAATCATGAGTACTTCAATAGGCATGTGGATTAGGAAAATCAGCTTGTTTGCTGATCCCAAGGAAAGGAATTTGTGGAATGTCTACAAGATGTTTTTTGAAACAGCTTACGGTAGAGCTAGATTTGATGATGTGTAATGAGGAGACTTGATTAGAGAGCTTAAGGTGAAGAAACCCCAATGGGCAGTGACCATAGTATGATACAATGCAGATTGAGAGGGAGAAGCTGGAATCAGATGTAATGGTATTATGATTGAGGAAAGGTAACTACAAAGACATGAGAGAGGATCTGGCCAGAGTTGAATGGAAGGGGAGCGTAGCAGGGAAGACAGTGGAACAGCAATGAGCTTCTGGGTGTAATTCACGAGGCACAGTAGAAATTCATCTCCAAGGAAGAAGAAACATGCTAAAGGGAGGACAAGACAACCATGGTTGACAAGGGAAGTTAGGGACAGCATAAAAGCAAAAGACAATGTCGTGAAGATTAGTGGCAGGCTAGAGAATTGGGAAGCCTTTAAAAAAACCTGCAGATGACAACCAAAAGAGCAATAAGGATGGAGAAGATGAAATATGAGGGTAAGCTAGCTAGTGACTTAAAAGAAGATTAAAATAGTTTTTTTAGATATATAAAATGTAATAGAGAAGGATGAGTGGACATTGGATTGCTGGAAGATGAGGCTGGAGAAGTAGTAATGAGAAACAATGAAATGGCGGAAGAACTGAACAGGTACTACGCATCAGTCTTCACTGGGGACAACCAGTAGCATAGCAGAACTTCAAAACGGGGACAGAGGTGAGTGTACTGGCCATCATTAAGGAGGTTCTGGGGAAGCTGAAAGATCTGAAGGTTGATAAATCACCTGGACCAGATGGATTACACCCCAGAGTTCTGAAGGAGATAGCTGAGAACATTGTGGAGGAATTGGTGATGATCTTTTAGGAATCACTGGAGTCAGGGATGGTCACAGAGAAGGGATAGAGGTAGAAGACAGGAAATTATCAGCTGGTTCGCCTAACCTCAGTCATTGGTAAGGTTTTAGAGACCTATATTAAGGATAAGATTGCAGAGTGCTTGGAAGTGCAAGGTATAACATGGCTGAGTCTGCACGACTTCATCAAGGGGTGGTCATGCCTGATAAGTTTCTTAGAATTCTTTGAGGAGGTAATAGGCAAGTTAGACAATGGAGGGAAAGTGAACATTATTTATTTGGAATTCCAGAAAGCATTTGACAAGGTGCCACACAGGAGGCTGATAAATAAGACAAGTGCCCATGGTGTAAGGGGCAAGGTACTGGCATGGATAGAGGATTAATTGACTGGCAGAAGGCAGAGAGTGGGAATAAAAGGGTCTTTTTCAGGATGGCAGCCTGAAACTAGTGGAGTTCCTTCGGGGTCAGTGTAAGGACAACAACAATTCAGGTTATACATGAGTGATCTCAATGAATGATCTGAGACCATTGCTGCTATGTTTGCAAATGACACAAAGGTGGAGGGACAGATAGTGTTGCGGAAGTGGGGAGAAGGACTTGGACAGGCTAGAAGAGTACGCAAAGAAGTGGTAGCTGGAATACAATGTGGGAAAGTGTGAGATCATGCACTTTGGTAAGAAGAAAAGAGGCATAAACTATTTTCTAAACAGAGAAAGGCTTCGGTAATCTGAAGCACAAAGGGACTCGGGAGTCCTAGATCAAGATTCTTTTAAGGTTAACATGCAGGTTCATTTGGCAATTAGGAAGGCAAATGCCATGTTAGTATTCATTTCAAGAGGAAGGATTACCGGACCTGAAAAGCTAACTCTGTTTTTTCCTTCACAGATGCTGCCAGACCTGCTGGGCTTTTCCAGCAACTCGATTTTTGTTCATTTCAAGAGGGCTAGATGTACTGATGAGGCTGTATTAGGCTCCAATCAGATCACATTTGGAATATTGTGAGCAGTTTGGGCCCCTTATCTAAGACTGGATGTTCTGGCATGGGACGGGTTCCGGAGGAGGTTTACAAGAATGATCCCAGAGTTGAAGGACTTGTCGTATGACGAGCATTTGAGGATTTTGGGTCTGTAGCCGATGGAGTTGAGAAGGTTGAAGGCGGGTGCTTAAAGAATACTGAGAGGCCTGGACAGAGTGGACATGGAGAAGATGTTTCCAGTAGTAGGAGAGACTAGGACCCAAGGGTACAGCTTTAGAATGAAGAGATGATGCTTTAGAACTGAGATGATGAGGAATTTCTCAGAGGGTGGGTAATCTGTGGAACTCAGTGCTGCAGAGGACTGTGAGGGGCAAGTCATTGAGTGTCTTTAAGATGGAGATAGATAGGTTCTTGATTAGTCAGGGGTTTGAGGGTTACAGGGAGAAGGCAGGAGAATGGAGTTGAGAAACATATCTGCCATGATCGAATTATGGAGCAGACTCAATGGGTGGAGTATCCTAACTCTGCTTCTTTATTTTACGGTCTTATAATTACTTGTTTTTTTGGCTCCCACACCAACCTTTTTGAATAAAGGTATTACATTGGTGGGTATCCAATTCTCTGGGACTTTTGCAGAATCTAAAGATTCTCGAAAGATTATTACCAGTGCATCCATCATCTCTGTTGACACTTCTTATAATATCCTAGAATGCAACCCACCAGGTCCAGGGGACTTATCAGCTTTAAGCCTCATTAGTTTCCCTTTTTTCTCCAGTGATTGTTATTATATTTATTTCCTCTCTCACTTTTGCTCTTTGATTATTTAGTAATTTTGTAATGGTATTCATGTCTTCTACTATGAAGACTGATGCTAAGTATTCAATCAACTCCTTTGCCACTTACTGGTTACCATTATTATTTCCCCAGCCTCATTCTCTAAAGGGCCTATCTTCACTTCGGTGTTTCTCTTCCATTTTGTATATTTAAAGATGCTCTTGCTGTCCATATTGATGGTAAATGCTAGTTTACCTTCAAGATTATTTTCTCCCTTTTAACTCAACTTTTTCTGTTATTTTAAAACCTTCTTAAACTTCTGGTTTACCTCTAATCTTTGCCACATTGCATGTTTTCTTTTTAATTTATTGTTGACTTATCTATTTAACATGGCTGGCTTGTCCCTTTCCCAGAAACATTCTTCCTCACTGGCATATATCTTTCTTATGAGTCATGAATTATTTTCGTAAATTCCTGCTATTGTTTCTCTCCCATCTTTTCTGCTAAATTCCCTTACTCATCCACTCCAGCTAATTCTGTCCTCTGTCCTAAATAATTATGCTTATTTATGTTTACCACAATTGATTCTGACCGAGGTTTCTCACTGTTAAATTGAATGTTAAATTGCACCATGTTATGGTCACTGTTCCCTAGAAGATGTTTTACACTGACACACGATTAATGTACTATCTTTTCATTTTCCCTATTTGCCTCATGATTTTATATGTTTCCCTACATTATAGAAGTTGAGAAGGGTAATTGTGAAGTAGAAAGCAGGAAGCTAAAATATATGTTTCAGAGATAGTAGGAACTGCAGATGCTGGAGAATCTGAGATAAATCTGAAGAAGGGTCTAGGTCCGAAACGTCAGCCTTCCTGCTCCTCTGATGCTGCTTGGCCTGCTGTGTTCATCCAGCTCTACACCTCGTTATCTCAGCTAAAATATATGGTTCCTTTAAGAGATTCGTGCTTTGTCTGTACTTAGAAATATTTATAAAAGTATGTATGTGAGCAGCAACTGAAGTACTAGTACAGAGAGCCTCAAAAAGTGAAACAAGTGTATCAAAAAAACATTACAGGTGGCAGGCAAAGCAACAGTCTTGTTTTGATGTTGTGACAACGAATTTGAATTTCGGCAATTAATTTAAAACCAAACTCAGCGATTCAAAGCCAATTGAATTTAAAAACTGATGGTGTTGACAACCTGAAACAAATCATATTGTAAGAATTTGATTGACATTACGGGTATGTAAGACGAGGACATTTGGAAAATCAGAGAGAGCCAACTGCCATCTGAAAGAGAGAGATAACTACCACCTGCCAGTGTTAGCACCATTCAG